AAACCAACTACCATTACTGTTGGAACACATACCGGTGCGAAAGCGAGTAAACATGTTTCTTCAACAAGATGGGTGTCCGGCTCATTTCTCGGTAAATGTCCGTCGTTTTTAAGACAACATTATTTTCGTGATAGATAGATAGGACGAGGCAGTTTATTCCCGTGGCCAGCTAGGTCACCCGATCTCACATGTATGGATTTTTACTTGTGGGGGAGAGTAAAAGAGATTGTTTTCCAAACTACACCAACTTCCAAACAGGACCTATTAAACAAAATTAAGGACGCAGTTCATCACATTCCTGTTGCAGAAGTAGAGAGTGCTGTTTTATCTACAAGAGACAGGCTTGAGCAATTCATTCGAAATGACCGAAAACATTTTGATCATCTAAGCAGGCTTGAATCCCAAGGGTGCATTTCATTCAAAGAATACTCATAATGGGTTAAATAAAACAATCGGTTCTTCTCAGAACCGATTTGAACCCAATTGTGCCGGTGCGTTGGGTTAGCGCATCAAGCAATTTCGGCACACTGCGCTAACTCCTGAAAATTCACTGAATTACCCATGCCTACACAAAACTAACCAATTTAACGTTTTGTTTTCAATGATTGCTTCCATCTGCGTAATTTTGTTACGATTATTATTTTTATTTGCTTACATTCGGTGTATTCCGTATTGAGCTATTATTGCTGCCAGGTTGATGTGCTATTCTGGATAATGTCGCATACTCTCCCAAGTCATCGGAGGGGCCTGTTGAAGCTAAATTCGATTGTTGTCGACGATGAGGATGCTGTATGGTCGCGTATGTGTTGTCCTCCTGAGAAATATTTGAGAGCTCTTGGTGAGAAGGAGACAGAAAAGGCCGTTAGTCTATTTTGGTGTTAGTGATTCGTTAGCGGAGTGGTTCATGCATACACATTTCACCTCTTTATTTCACTAGGAGGATGCCAAGCTAAACAGCTTCAAAGACACTTACCGGCATATCGTCATTACTACTCCGCCTATTTATCATTCCCAGTTCGGGTTCGTTGAATACCTGCATCGTTAGTTCCTGCTCTTCATATAGCTTTAGTTTCCTACAAATCAACAGGTCAGTGAATAAAATTACCATTTGCAATTGGTAGATGTTTGTTTTCTATGTCTTGAATTCAACGGAAAATCAAAAATGTTAAAAATATGAGATTATAAAACTCACTGCTCAATCCACAAAGGATTCTCCGTGGTAGTCAAATCGTCGATGATAGCTTTCTTTATAAGAGCGTCCTTTTTCTTCAAGTCGTCTGAAGGAGATATTACCCAGTGCCTTAAGCAGCAGCATACAATTATAAACGACAAAATTCCAACAAATAAGACAATCATTAGAGCAATTAAAGCTGCCAAGGCTGGATCAAATGACTCTTCTCGTTCCTAAAAGATATGAGCTTCATATAGCTGAAAATGTACTTCAACTTTGCCTCGTATTATCCGAATTACAATTTTTTATAATAGGTGAAATCATCACAGTTTATTTAGTTAAGTAACTTTTTGTCTGCAAATTTATTAGTACGACAAAACATCAAATATGTATGCAAGCTCCGCTTATCGTTTCTATTCGTCAATCACTCCTATATTTTGTCCTCATACGTAATAGTCTCTTGACGTACCTGAATAAAAGCTGGTACAACATTTTCAATAGCAAAACCAGCATAGTAATCCTTGAGAAAATCGTATTCTGAGTCAATAATTTTCAAAACTTCTGGAACGGATACGATGGAATTGGTTGCTGGATCCACAGCCAAAATATACATGTCGGTCCTAAAATTTTGAAAGAAATTTTTATCCAATTTATTTATAAAATAAACTCATTTACCAGTCCTCATTCTTTCTTCCTCCGCTGCCAACATGGAATCGGATTTCATCGATGATGATGAGATAGTGGGTGGCATTGCCCAGCTCGGATATGATTTCCTCCTTTTCCTTGTAAACTTCTTCTTTCGGCCTGGAGAGGATTACTCGGATAAGCTGTTCTGGTTCAAACACCCAAACCTGTAATCACAAATTTCATTCTCTTCCACTAGTGATTAGTTGAAATAAAAAGATACAAAACCCGTTCCTATCTTGACGTGTCTCAGAGAAAAGCGAAAACTTTCCACCAAGTTTTTCGACTGAACATTAATTATGTAAATCTATCAGTAGGAAGTAAGTAAGTCGAATCTCACAATACATTTTAAAAGTTAAATAAGATTATAATAGACATCTTAAGGCTCCAGAGTCGCTAATAATGATTCCTGAGATTAAAACTAGCTCGTCATGTCGTCAATTCCATTCGGCTGCTGGTTTAAGAGATAAGGCCGGTAGCAGAGACTCAGTTTTCAATTTGTATGTTAATTCAGGTATTGGTTGTAAGGATAAAAGGACTTGTAGTGTTTGAACTGCGACGAAATTGAAGCATTTGATTTAGTGTCATTACAGGTAAAGGACGGCAATCGACTTTGGAGCAGTTGGTTTTAGGATAAAGTAATGGCATAATTACCTGAACCTGAGTGTAAGCTTCTCGTTCAGGAAATCCATTTTCTCGGGTTACAACATCGACGACAAATCGATGCTGGTTGTTTTCGGCTAGGTATGTGGCTGTGTATACTTCTCCCTTTTGGCTGATGTTGAAAGGTGAAGGAATTATTGATCCAGAACTTTTTTCGGAACGGTATTTGTACAGATTCGAAGCTTTAATGTAGTAGGTGAGGGTACTGAAATAAAAAAAAATGTATATGCAAATTTATATCACTGAAAATGTGAAATTTTTACAGTAATGTGAAATAATAATTATCTTTCATTTTGTAATGAAGGTAAATTGTCATTTGTGTTGAACGGTAGTAAAAATTATTGTAGAGAGTTTACTAATACATAAGTACTTATACAGGGTGTCCCGTAAGCTCATGATCAAAAGGGTACTGCGATATTCTTTGGACTAAAAGAAGACGATCTGACCTAACTTTTAATAACAAAAAATGTCTGGCTCCTCTGCTATTGATGGTCAAAGTTCTTCAAAAAAATTATCTTTTGCGAAATATCGGGAGAATGGTACGATGTATTTTAGTGAAGCCCGCTGTCAATTTGTTCTTACGTAAGACTCATATTTTGATGAAACAATCGAGTTCGGCCGTTTTGGACAAGTGGTAAATTCTTGAGTGTCGTGGTACAAAAACTACCAGAACTTTTTAGATGGAGGATGAAATCAACTCATTTTTTTAGGTTGATGCACTAATCATTTTTTCACAATTTTGTGCTCTTTGTAAACTATTTGCTCTTGCATAAAATCATTATCAATCAATCTCACAAATTCGTTTTGAATGACCTTTTCTAGTGAAGAAGTGACCGACATAGTCAAAGTATTAAGGTTTTGCGAAGACAATTTGCGTGAAAGCGTACGCGTTTACGCGGCGCATATTTGCAGTAAATGTCTAGCATTGCTAAGTGACTAGAAAACAGACATATTTTTTTTACGCAAAAACTATGAATGCTACAACATTTTACAAAGAGCACAAAATTGTGAACACATGATTAGTGCATCAACCTAAAAAAAATGAGTTGATTTTATCCTCCAACTAAGAAGTTCTGGTAGTTTTTGTACCACGACACTCAAAAATTCACCACTTGTCCAAAACGGCTGAACTCGATTGTTTAGTGAAATATGAGTCTTACATAAGAACAGATTCACAGTGAGTTTCACTAAAATACATCGTACCATTCTCCCTTTATATACCTATTCTCGCTTGTTCCAAAAGGTAGCATCTTTCTCTCTTAGGTCTTTATCAATATTTTACTACATGTCTGTCTAATTAACACTTTTTTCGGCTTCGGCCGCCCTCAGTGAGTGTATGCTAAAGACATCATCAGATGTCGCTCTAATTCAAGAACCGTATGTATATAAGGGGAGAATTGGAGGATTGG